GAAGACCCAAAACAGTCCTTTCTCAGAGAAACCCCAAGGCCTCATTGACCTCTTAGATTCCATTTTGTTCACTCACAACCCCACCTGGGATGATTGTCAGCAGCTGTTACAGGTGCTCTTCACCAAAGAAGAATGGGAGCGAATCCTGGCAGAGGCGAGGAAATGGGTCCCGGGGGCCGACGGGAGACCAACCGCCCAGCCTCATCTCGTAGACGAGGGGTTTCCTCTGTTGCGGCCTAACTGGGATTTTGAGCGGGTGGAAGGTAGGGAGCATCTCCGAGTGTACCGCCAGACTCTGATGGCTGGCCTGCAGGCCGCAGCTAGGAAGCCGACAAATCTGGCGAAGGTAAATTTAGTAAGGCAAGAGCCCACTGAGAGCCCGGCAGCCTTCCTGGAGAGGCTGATGGAAGCCTTTAGGCAATATACACCTATGGACCCCCAGGCTGAGGAATCACGCGCTGCAGTTCTACTAGCGTTTGTGAATCAGGCAGCCCCAGATATTAGGAAGAAATTACAAAAGATAGAGGGGTTGGGAGAACAAACAATACAGGATTTACTGAAAGCAGCTGAAAAGGTATTTAATAATAGGGAGACCCCAGATGAAAGGGAAGAACGAATTCGACGGGAGGAAAGGGAATTAGCTGAGAAGATCAGGAAGGAAGATAGAGAATATAGAACGAGGGAAAACCGGAAGAACCAGAGAGAGCTAGCCCAGATTCTTTTTGCGGGGGTAAAGGCCGGAACAGAGTTGAGGGAACCTCGAGACCCCCGGACGGGAGAAAAAGAGAAGCCAAAAAGGCAGGCCCTAAAGAAGGATCAGTGCGCCTACTGCAAAGAACAGGGGCACTGGAAAAACGAGTGCCCTAAGAGGGACTCGAGGAGAGGAATGACCCAGAGAGAGAAAATCACCCCTGGAACTTGAGTTCTATACTCGGGGGAAGACAGTGACTAGGGGAGTCAAGGCTCGGCACCCCTCCCCGAGTCCTGGGTAACCATACATGTGGAGGGGAAACCCGTTGGCTTCATGGTAGATACTGGCACCCAACACTCTGTTTTAAATAAAAAACTGAGACCAATGTCTAAGAAAACCAGCATAGTGCAAGGAGCCACAGGGACAAAAAGATATTGTTGGACCACAGAACGAAAAGTAAATCTGGGGACCCACCAGGTGTCCCATTCGTTTTTTTGGTGATACCAGAATGCCCAGCCCCTCTACTTGGAAGAGACTTGTTGACTAAAGTTAATGCTCAGATCCATTTTGACCCTGGGGGAATGTCAGTCATGGATGGACTTGGACAGCCGATACATGTCTTATCCTTAGCCTTAAGGGATGAATACAGACTTTTTGTGCCTAAGCCCTCAGAGGTTATAGCACCAGATGTACAACCGTGGGTCCACAAATACCCATTGGCCTGGGCAGAAACGGCAGGAATGGGACTGGCCAAACAGAGACATCTGGTCGTCATCGAGCTAAAGGCCAAGGCAATTCCTGTGAGGGTGAGACAGTACCCTATGAGCCAGGAGGCTCGGCGGGGGATCACTCCCCACATTCGACGGCTCATGGATGCCGGAATTCTCAAGCGGTGCCAATCCCCTTGGAACACCCCCTTACTGCCGGTGAAGAAGCCAGGGGGAACAGATTACAGACCTGTCCAAGACCTGCGAGAAGTCAACAAGCGGGTGAGTGACATACACCCCCACTGTCCCTAACCCATATACCCTCCTGAGCAGTCTGCTACCTGAGTACACTTGGTACACTGTGTTAGACTTGAAGGATGCATTTTTCAGCCTACCCCTGGTGGCCCAGAGCCAGGAGATATTTGCCTTTGAGTGGACAGAGGGGGAGGGCCAACCAGTAGTACAATTAACTTGGACCCGCCTCCCACAGGGGTTCAAGAACTCCCCTACCTTGTTTAATGAGGCTCTGAGTGAGGACCTCTATGAATATCGGACTTGCCACCCAGAGGTCATTCTGCTACAATATGTAGATGACCTTATGTTGGCTGGAACCACGGAGGAGGCATGCAGCTGTGCCACCGGGGACCTCTTACAGACCCTAGGCACCTTGGGGTATCGCGCTAGTGCAAAGAAGGCGCAAATAGCCCGGCAAGAGGTCATCTATTTGGGGTATAAGATCAGGCAGGGGCAACGGTGGCTAACCCAGGCCATGAAGGAAACAATATTGCAGATACCAGAGCCCAAGACCCCCCGCCAGGTGAGGGAGTTTCTGGGGACTGTTGGATATTGCAGACTGTGGATCATGGAGTTTGCTGAGGAGGCCCGGCCCTTGTATGAGGGAAGTAAAGAGACCCCAAACTGGACTTGGACTGAGCCAATGAAACAGGCTTTCCGGACACTCAGATGGGCCCTACTAGAAGCCCCAGCGCTTGCCCTGCCTAACCCAAATAAGCCATTCCAGCTGTTTGTAGATGAGAAGCAAGGAATAGGAAAGGGGGTCTTGACGCAACAATGGGGACCGTGGAAGTGGCCGGTGGCATACCTTTCGAAACGATTAGACCCGGTGGCCGCTGGGTGGCCCCCTTGCCTTTGCATCATTGCAGCCACTGCCCTCCTCGTCCGCGACGCCGACAAGTTGACGTATGGACAGCAACTCTCGGTTTTCACCCCCCACGCCATCGAAGGGGTTTTGAAGCAGCCGCCGGGTAAGTGGATCTTCAATGCCCGCTTGACACATTACCAGGCCCTGCTGCTCGATGCCCCACGGGTGCGTTTTCAGACCCCTTGCTTCCTGAATCCAGCCACGCTCCTACCTAACCCAGAGAAAGACCGCCCTCTCCATGATTGCAGTGAGATACTGGCTGAGGTCCTGGCGGCACGAAAAGACTTAACTGATGTACCGCTAAGCAACAGTGAGCTAGTATGGTTCACCGATGGGAGCAGCTATGTAAAAGATGGGCAAAGGAAGGTGGGAGCCGCCATAGATGATGAGTCAGGGAAGACGATATGGGCTGAGACACTTCCCCCCAACACTTCTGCGCAAAAAGCAGAATTGATTGCCCTAATACAGGCTCTGGAGCAAGCCAAAGGAAAGAGAGTCACCATTTTCACTGACAGCCGATATGCTTTCAGCAGTGCCCATATTCAAGGTCCCATATACCAAGAAAGGGGATTTTGGACAGCTGAGGGAAAAGAGGTCAAAAATTTGCCCAAGATTCGCAGGCTCCAATTGCCCCGGGCAGTAGCTATAGTACATGTCCCCGGTCACCAGAAAGGAGAAGACCCTAAGGCATGGGGCAATCGTGCCGCTGATGCGGCTGCTCGAGAAGCAGCTAGCCGGGACTATGCCGCCCCCATATTAGCCGTGGGACTTCCACCTCCTGGTATGGGACCTTGCCACCAGTTCCCAAATATTCCCTCCCTGATCTCGCCTGGATCAACAAGGATACCACCCTCCAGAAGGATGACCAAGATGGATGGTACCAAGACCAAAACAACAACCTGATATTGCCTGCCACCCTGGGTCATCACCTGTGTGAACACCTGCATGCAACTACACACTTGGGAGAAAGAAAGACTCTAACATTTCTCCAGACGGCCTGCCTGAGGTTCCCTCAACAAAATGCAACTGTACGAGAGATAATTCAAGCCTGCAAAGCTTGCCAGCTGATGAGGGCAGAGAAGAAGCAGCACTCGGGAACAAGGTACCGAGGGGAAAAGCCAGGGCAACACTGGGAGATAGATTTCACTGAGGTAAGGCCAGGCAAGTATGGGTACCGCTATCTGTTGGTTCTGGTAGATACCTTCTCAGGGTGGGTGGAAGCTTTCCCCACTAAGGGAGAGACAGCAATAGTGGTTGCTAAAAAGATCTTAGAGGAAATAGTGCCTAGGTATGGGCTGCCAGTGACTATGGGCTCTGATAACGGACCTGCCTTTGTGAGCCAGATTGTACAAGGGCTGGCCCAAGCTCTGGGGACCAAATGGAAGTTACATTGCGAATATAATCCCCAGAGCTCAGGACAGGTTGAGAGAATGAATCGGACCCTAAAAGAAACTTTGACAAAGTTGGCAATAGAGACTGGCGGGGACTGGGTGACCCTCCTCCCCCTTGCACTCTTTCGGGTGTGTAACACCCCTTATAAGCTGAATCTTACCCCTTTTGAGATTCTGTATGGAAGACCCCCTCCTGTGTATCCTATTTTCGAAGGAAAATGCCTGCCACCCCCTACTTTGGGACAATTCCAGCAAACAGTGATGGCATTAAGTAAGGTGCATAACCATGTTTGGAAATTGATTCGAGAGATATACGAGGGCCAGAATAAGAGGGCCCTCCCCTCACATAATATTGGCCCAGGTGATTGGGTTTGGGTAAAACGACACCAATCTAAAGTATTAGAACCTAGATGGAAAGGCCCTTATGTTGTTCTCCTTACCACTCCCACCGCTGTCAAGGTCAACGGGATTGGACCCTGGGTTCACTGCAATCACGTGCGGCAAGCCACACGGGAAGAACAGGAAAAAGCGCGAGCAGAATGGAAGGCAAGTCCTCACCAGTCAAATCCTTTGAAACTGAAACTTGCCTGCAGGGAGGCCTCCTAATTCTGCTGTTGATGGCAGCTCTCATCGACCCAGGAGCGACCAGTCACAACCCCCATCAACCTGCTAAGATCACCTGGAAACTCAACGACGGGCAAACTCATGAGCTGCTCAATGAGACCTCAGGAATCCACCCTCCGAACACCTGGTGGCAGTACCTGAACTTCGACCTCTCAAGCCTCTTCGCAAAGCAGGATGGTCTCCATGATAAGTACTATAGGGATGGGATAAAAAACCATAGGTTGGGGTTCTGGGCTTGCCTGGGCTATGTAAGAAATAACTGGAAAGCCTGTGGTGGCATAGAAAGCTATTATTGCAGGAGCTGGAGTTGTGTGACCTCTTGTGATGGACCTCAGAGGTGGGATGTTGGAAACAGATCTAGTTAGCTTCACCTTCAAGGACCGTAGACACCAGGGGCCTCAGGTACGAGTACAATTTAACCAGGAATGGGTGAAAAAGGAAACCGCTGGTCCTCAGGACTGACTTGGGGTTTTCAGCTTCACATAAATTGGCCCGGCCCCTACCCAGGCAAGCTTTTAATCATTAAACAGGTTATTGAGCCAGTGCAGGTACATAGTTTAGGTCCCAATCTGGTCAAAACATTACAGGAGCACAAGGAGACCCCCAAGCCAACCACCTCCAGACCAAGCTCACCAGGAACATTTAACATCTCCTCTACCCCGAGCCTCAGAGACAAACTGACAGAAACCCTTGGCCCTCTGGCTGTTACCATTAGCTCAGCAATTCAGGACCCCCTATGGGCCTTAGTGAATGCAGCCTTTACGGTCTGAAACCATACCAACCCTAATGCGACCCAATCCTGTTGGCTTTGTTATAATCTTCACCCCCCCCCTACTATGAGGCCATAGGCCTCAATGTCTCTTACCACTTGTCTTCAGGCCAGAACCCACCCCAATGCCGATGGGAAGAACGCAAGGTTGGCCTCTCAATGAATGAAGTTTGGGGATAGGGACTCTGTTTGGGCACAGTGCCACGTGATAAAACTCCCCTCTGTGCCCGGACTATTAGTAACCTACGCTTACACGGCAAAAATTGGATTGTGCCAGAGGCTGGGGGTTGGTGGATTTGTTCACATACTGGGCTAACCCCATGTTTAAATGTGAAGGTTTTTAACCAGAGTCAAGAATTCTGTGTCCTGGTTGCTGTAATGCCAACAATCTTATACCACTCTGAAGAGGTTATGTACTCACATTGGGACCGGGAAATGCTAAGACAAAAGAGAGAGCCAATCAGTGCGATCACCATGGCAGCCTTGTTCAGTCTTGGGCTGGCAGGAACAGGAACAGGAATAGCTTCACTATCTCTGCAAGGCCAAGGGTTTTCCTCCCTACGAGCCGCTATAGATGAGGATATAACTCGCATAGAAGAATCAATCAGCCACTTAGAGAAGTCTCTGACTTCCTTGTCTGAGGTGGTCTTGCAAAATAGGAGAGGATTAGACTTGGTTTTTCTCCAGCAGGGTGGGGTGTGCGCGGCTCTGGGAAAAGAATGTTGTTTCTATGCAGACCATACAGGAGTGGTAAGAGAATCTATGGCAAAAGTGAGAGAGGGACTGGCGCAATGCAAGAGGGAACGGGAGGCCCAGCAGGGATGGTTTGAGTCTTGGTTTCAATGCTCCCCCTGGCTGACCACCTTAGTTTCCACCCTCCTGGGCCCACTTATAGTGCTATTATTAACACTCACGTTTGGCCCTTGTATTTTAAACCGGCTAATGTCATTTATTAAAGAATGTCTAAATACCATTCAGATTATAGTATTGAGGCAAAAATATCAGATGGTAGCCCAGGATGAAGAGAAAGATTCCTCTACAGGAACAACAAGACAGGGGGGAATGTGAGGCTGCCAGGGTTAATACCATGACAGGCGGCCTGGACCTAAGTTTTGGCTTCCCCCGAAATGATAAGATTCCCTACCCCCATCAGGTAACCTGGAGCCAGCCAATATGCACCCAGTAAGAAACAAAGGGAGAGCTGAAAAGCCCGCGAATGCCCAGGTTTGAAAAAAGCCCGCGAAAGTTTGTACCAATAAAATTGCTTTGCAAACATGTAACCAATCCGCTTAAGCCAGCTACTAACCGCTTATGCATACCTTATAAATTTGGATAACAGCCTCTGCTCAAGGCTTTTCTGACCTTGCGCCACTGTGTTGGTTGCAGCAGAAAGCCCTGACTCGAGTCAGTAATAAACTTCCCTTTTTGTAAATTGCATTGTCTTGGAAGCTCTCTCTTCCCGCTCAGGGATTCGGACATTGGGCATAACATTTTCCATACTTTTCAATCACAGTTTATTGCAAGATATTGAATCTAGTTCCCTGTGCTATACAGTTCAGTTCAGTCACTCAGTCATATCCGACTCTTTGTGACCCCGTGGACTGTAGCATGCCAGGTTTCCTCTGTCTTTCACCAACTAACAGAGCTTGCTCAGACTCATGTCCATCGAGTCGATGATGCCATCCAACCATCTTATTCTCTGTCATTCCCTTCTCCTCCTGCCTTCCATCTTTCCCAGCATCAGGTTCTTTTCCACTGAGTCAATTCCTCACATCAGGTGACCAAAATATTGGAGCTTCAGCTTCAACATCAGTCCTTCCAATGAATATTCAGGACTGATTTCCTTTAATATTGACTAGTTGGATCTCCTTGCAGTCAAAGGGACTCTCAAGAGTCTTCTCCAACACCACATTTCAAAAGCATCAATTCTTTGGTGCTCAGCTTTCTTTATGGTCCAACTCTCACATCCATACATGACTACTGAAAAGACCATGCCTTTGACTAGATGGACCTTTGTTGGCAAAGTAATGTCTCTGCTTCTTAATATGCTGTGTAGGTTGGTCATAGCTTTTGTTCCAAGGAGCAAGTGTCTTATAATTTCATTGCTTTAGTCACCATCTGCAGTGATTTTGGAGCCCAAGAAAATCAAGTCTCTCACCATTTCCATTGTTTTCTCATCTATTTGCACTGAGTTATATAGTAAATCTTTATTGTTTATCTATTTTGTATGTGGTTGTATGCATCGGTTAACCCCATACTCCCAATTTATCCCTCCCCCACTTACCCTTTGGTAACTATAAGTTTGTTTTCTATCTCTGTGAGTCAGTTTCAGACAGCTGCCTTCTTTGATGTGTGTTCAGATAGAGTTTCTTCAGTGTGTGTGTGTGCACATAGATCATTTCTATCTTCCTCTTCTTATAAGGATACTATCAAATTCATGAGCACTCCATTCTCATGACTTCATAAAAGTCTAATTAGTTATCTCCTAAAGGCCCTACCTCCAAATAATATTAGGTTGGCACAAAAGTAATTGCACTTTTGGACCATAAACTTTAAATCATTATAACTAGGCTCAAAGACATCTTTATTAATCAAAATAGGAACCATTGCAATCAACACATTTTTGCCAATAAGAAATAAGTTTGCTTATTCCTGTAGCATAAAACCATGCTTCAGGATTTGTAAACTCCTGGAAAGCATTTTCTGCATCCTCCTAGTTGTGGAAGCATTTTTCCTGCAAAAAGTTGTCAAGATGCTTGAAGTGATAGTTGATTGGCAAGAGGTAAGGTGAATGTGGTGGATGAGACAGAATTTTATAGCCTAATTTGTTCAAGTTTTGAAGTCTTGGTTGTGCAACATGTGGTTGAATGCTGTCATAGGAAAGAAATGGGCCATGGGCTCTTTCTATTGACCAATGCTGGCTGTAGGCACGCAGTTTTTCATGCATCTCACTGATTTGCTCAGCATACTTCTCAGATGTAATGGTTTCGCCAGGATTCAGAAAGCTGTAGTGGATCAGACCAGCAGCACACCACCAGTGAGCATGACCCTGCCCCCTTTTTTGGTGCAAATTTGGCCTTGGGAAGTGCTTTGGAGCTTCTTCTTGGTCCAACGACTAAGTTGGTCATCGATGGTTTTCATATAAAATCCACTTTTCATCACAAGTCACAATCCAATCAAGAAATGGTTTGCTGTAGTTGCATAGACTAAAAGAAGAGGACATTTCACAACAACATTTTGTTTTGGTTTTTCAGTTTGCTCAAGAGGCACCGACTTATTTAGCTTTTTCACCTTTCCAATTTGCTTCAAATGCCAAACCACTGTTGAATGTTTGATGTTGAGTTCTACAGCAACTTCTAGTGTAGTTGTAAGAGCATCAGTTTTGGTGATTGTTCACAGTTGGTTGTTGTCAACTTCAGTTGGCCAGCCACTATACTCTTCATCTTCAAGGCTCTCATCTCCTTTGCAAAATTTCTTGAACCACCACTGCATTGTACATTCATTAACAATTCCTGGTCCAAATGCGTTGTTGATGTTGTGAGTTTTCTCTGCTGCTTTACAACTCATTTTGAATAAGAAAATCACTCAGATTTGCTTTTTGTCTAACATCGTTTCCATTGTCTAAAATAAATATAAAACAAGTAATAAGTCCTTAACCAAAAATATAATGTGAGAACTATGCATTAAAATGATGTATAACATGACTATGTTTATTAAGAATGTATTCTAATATCAAGTGGCAAATTTCAACAATGCAAAAACCACAATCACATTTGCACCAACCAAAATATCACACTAGAGATTATGACTTTAATGCAAGAATTTGGGGAGGATACAGGCATTCAGTATATAACAGTGCCTCAGAACCAAGAATGAGATAGAGAGCTAAACCAACATGAGGGAAATCAAGGATAGGGTGAGATGCAAAGGGCATATTTTTGAGTATCAATGATGAAAGCAGGAAGGAGGAAAATAGGGCTATCTGATAAGCTATCTGATTCTATCTGTCTAGTCAATCCTTTTGTGATTCACATGTTAAAATCCAGGTTGGCCCCAGCCTGTTGAGAGGCCCTTATTTACGGGAATTGGTGCATTGCTACAGCAAGGGACAGTAAAATGATTCCTTCCTTTTTCATTCTAAGAGGCAGAGAATGATTAAGTGCCTAACCTCCAGTACAAATCTTCATGTAAGCTATGTGTTCACTTTGCAACAGTCACCAGGCTGTCAGATTTAAAAATAACCTCATCTCCAATTTCTACTTGAAGGTTTTAACTATAAATTTAAGCAGTGATACAGGCACTGACTTACTTCCCTGTTTATCAACCAGCAATTCAGAAGACCGCTGTGGTACAAAGTATCAACTTTAGAGTTAGACTTATCTGAGTTTGATTCCCACTTCAGCTGTGTTCCAGTAGTGCACCCTTGTGAAATTTCCTTTAATCTTCCAATCAGAGTTTCTTCATCAGTACAGTGGCAGGTAAAGTAAAATGGAACAGATTTTAAACCCATATTTGAGGCAGCAGGAAAAAAAATGTATCATACAGAAAAACGAAAATCATATATTAATGGTATCAAACAATGTGGTGTAAAAAAATTGTTGTTGGTCAGTTGCTAAGTCATGTCCGACTCTTTGACACCATGGACTGCAGCATGACAGGATTCCCCATTCTTCACTCTTAAACTCATGTCTGTTGAGTCGATGGTTTGCTCAAACTCATGTCCCTTGAGTCGATGATGCGATCCAAACATCTCATCCTCTGTCAGCCCCTTCTCCTCCTGCCTCCAATCTTTCCCAACATCAGGGTCATTGCCAATGAGTCAGTTCTTCATATCATGTGGCCAAAGTACCTGGAGGTTCAGCTTCAGCATGAGTCCTTCCAATGAATATTCAGGACTGATTTCCTATAGGATTGACTGGATTGATCTCCTTGCAGTCCAAGGGACCCCCAAGAGTCTTCTCCAACACCACACTTTGAGAGCATCAATTCTTCAGTGCTCAG